CTTCTTCTATTTTCTTTTGACTATTTCCATTTATTTATTATGTTGTTTATTTCTTTATTCTTTATAATTCCTTTCCTATCTTCAATTTTTTATGTTTAAATTTAAATACTTTTCAAATATGTTTTATTTCTTCACTATTATGCCTCTTCTTATTATCATTCATTCTTATCATTTTTCTTTTAATTTTAAATACAACAGTGTAAAATATAGTTAATTATATGTTATTACAACTTGCTTCTATTCTTATTTGTTTTAATGACACTAATCACATCCATTTACTTCCCACTAAAATCATTCCTTTTAGTTATCATATCCTTTAGGTTTTCTAGAAGTATTAGTAAAACACCTCTTTATTTTATTGATTCCTATCAATATCTTCTTATTCATTTTTACTTCTTCCTTTTTAATCCTTTTGTTTGATTTATACTTTATTTTGTGAAGGAGAGAGAGTAAACCATTACCACTATATTATTATGACTATTTTTAACCATATTTTATCATATACTTTTCAGATGATTATAATTATTTAACAACATTATCATCCATTCTAATTAATAATTCATTAATAAACCAAAATATAATAATTGTGACTAAATTAAAAATTGTAAAAATAAATAATTTTTTAAAGCGTAATGTAAAATTATTTATTCAATTTTTTATTCAATGATAATATTACAAATTTATTTTTATTTAATTATGGTTGTATTTCAAACTAATAATAAAAAAAACAAACTGTTATGTTAAATTATTGATAATTTTCTTCATTTTTTAAATATTTTCTAATTCATTTATTTCCATTAAATTAACTGTAAATTTTATGTAAAATTACATAAAAGCAGTATTAATAATATAAAATTATCTTAAAATGAAATAATTAAAACAATCTTTATGTAATATTCGATAAAATATTTATTTTTAATTTTATTTTGTTGTTTTTCGTTCAGATAAAAATATAATATGAAGAATATTTTTAAAAATGTAGAAAAGAACTTATTTATTTCAAATGAAAATGAAAATGTTGTTACTAGTAAATAACTTCAATTCATCAAATGGATAAATAAATATTAACATTTTTAATTACTTTTAAACATTCACAGACTGAAACTAAATACAATCAATGAATAGTAAACAAATTAAATTATTTGTTAAATGAAATATAAGTGATTGAAAAGTAAGTTGTGTAATTTCAACATGAAGAAGAATGTTTTTAAAGAAAATAAATAATGGTATAAAATCAGAAACTAAAGAAACAAAAAGAGTCGCATGGAGAAAGTGATAGAAGAGATGCAATTGTTATTGAGAATCTTGTAGTGACAAAAAAAAACAGAAAGAATAGGGAAAATGTATATAACCAAATAGTTGAATATATTTATCAACAAAAAGAAGTTCAAACAATTAACAATGTTTTGAATTTCAACCAAGATGTTTATAAAACAATAAAAGAATGAATATTTGCGACATGTTTGTATTACGTTGAACAAATGGTATTGTTCTATTCATAAAGAAATTTCTTGAAAAAAAGAAGAAAAACAAACAAAAAATGAAGATGATACGTGTAATGTTATTAACCTCAATTAGTATAGAAGAAGTTGAAAAGAGACATTAGTTATCAGAGTATTACTGAAGAAAAGACAAAAATATAGAATCATTAAACAAGAAAAACATACCCAAATAAATAAAATAATAATAAGAAATAAAAGAGTGAAATACATTGGAGAAAATCATTGAATTAATTGTTGAATTGAAAGAATTGAAACTAAATAAATTATTCTTTCCTAAAAAATAATACGAATAAGAAAAGAAAGAAATTAATAAATAAGACACTAAACTACTAAAATATTTTCGACGATAAAAGAAGATATAGAAATTGCTGCCAAGGAGGAACTAGAAAATAAATTGTCAACATTATTCATTATAAAGAAGAAATAATTAAAAAAACAATATGTATGTATAATAATGGAACGCTTTCAGAAAGATTATGGGACATTATTTATACAAAACAGTTTGATGAAGTAAGTTTAAACCATTAAATAAACTAAATGAATTTTAGTTTAAATTTATTTTCAAAAAAAAATAAAATAATTATAAATTATGATAAACAGAAAAGTTATGTTTTAAATAAACAATGAATTAAATAGAATAAATAACAAATGAAAAAGTTGATTAGTGTAAGAAATATGAATGTTACATTATATTTTATTCATTGAAATATTGATTATTT